GCGAGAGGAGGGGAATGTGAGAGGACGTTGTGGCAGCAGCGACCAGTGACCATGATGAACAAGCCCGGGCACAGACGGGTTCCCGGACAGGGAAGTCCTTCAGAGAGACAGAGGCTCCAGCACCGACACAGCCCCACGCCCCTCCGAGTTTTAGGGACTGCCACTGTGTTTTACAATCAGAGATGCTCAAGTGCAGTTTAAAAATGTGCGGTCTCTTTAATATTTTTATTTAATACATGAACACTTTTAAGACACGTGCCAGATGAAATACAGATACTCAATTAAATTAGAATTTCAGATAAACAGCAGTAAGCTTTTAGTATAATGAGACTGCATGGGACAGGCTTATTCTTTCTCTGAAATTCAAGTGTAACGGGGTCTCCTGTATTTTTATTTGCTAAATCTGGCAGCCCCACTAGGAGTGGCTCCTATCAGCTCTTCCAGCACAATCTACAACCAGTGGGTAATTAGGTTGCTTCTCATCTTTTGCTTTTCAGGAACAATAGTTCCATGAAAATCCTTGCACAAAGGACTCTGACCTCATCTACAATGGTATCTGTAGGGTGTGCACCTAAAGTCGCTTAGTCACACTTTGCCTGGATTTTTGTGGCCATGACTCGGACTGGTCTCTCTGAAGGTGAGCAGCCCTTGTCTCTCCCAGTCTCTCCCCGCAGCCATCCGCCCCCCTCTCCACTCTTTCTCCTTCTCTGTCTCTCCCCTCGTCTCTCCCTCCTGCTCTTTCTCCCTTTCTCTCTCCATTTCTCTCTCTCTCTCTCTCTCTCTCTCTCTCTCTCTCTCTCTCTCTCTCGGTGTGACTCTCCAACTCCCCTGACCCTGCCTGACTGTGTTGGTTTCTCCGTTTCTGTCTCCAGTTGTCTAATTTTTGACCCAGCAGCTCTGCAAAAACAGGTAAGTGGGCAAAGATACACTTGTAAGGATGCCCCACTCTATCATTGTCTGTAACAGCTGAACGTTTGAAACAACCTGAATACCCACTGATAAATAAAATATGGTCCATCCTCACCTGGAGCATCATGCAGCCATTAAAAATCACACCACGTTGACATGCAAGATGTTGATGGACAAATCACAGAGTGAAAAACACAGGTTATAGGCAGGAAGTAGAAGCATTTGCCATTTTAAGTTTCAACCAAAAATACAGTGCCCCAGGACACAGAAGTGTTCCACTGTTGATGCAAAAGGTTGTCTGGTTGTCCGCGGGGTGGGGCGATGAGCAGTGGTTTCCAGTTTCTTCTTTATATTTTTCTGTCTTACCTGTTCTTTTAAGATTTTCTTTCTTTTTAGAGAGAGGGGAAGGGAGGGAGAAAGGGAGGCAGAGAAACATCAATGGGTTGCCTCTCAGAGGCGCCCTGACCGGAGACCAAGCCCACATCCTTGGCATGTGCTCTGACTGGGAATCGAACCCGAGGCCTTTTGGGACAGCACTCCAACTGAGCCATGCTTGCCAGGGTCTCTGGATGGTTTTTATAATCAGAAGGGTCATCGCTAAAGCCTTGCAACCTTTAAGGCCAGAGCCTGCCCACCCAATTCTAAACAACCAAGTTGCTGCTTCACCCCAGCTACAGTAGATTCATTGCCACACACCTTATTTCCTGAACTAGCCTAAGGATGCATTTTACCTGAGGCTCTTCTAAAAGATACAGGTTCCCAGGCCCCACCTACAACTACCAACCAGAATTCCCAAGGGAGGCGCCTGAGGATGCGTTTTGTAACAAGTGCCTCCCAGGTAGTTCATGTCTTCAGGTTGAGTTTGGGAAACACTTCATCTACTAGCGCCGCTGAGTCATCAAACAGCTGCTAGCTGCTTGGGTCAGGGGGACGCTGGGTGGTCTCAGGAATGGATGTGAAAAAACAGTGGTGATGTCAGTAGCTCACGTAGGCCCTGTTCTGATGCTTTATGTGGATTATTTCACTCGATTCCCACAACCCGATGAGGAAGACACCTTTATCAACTCCATTTTATCGATGAGGAAACCAAGGCACAAAGAGATTCGAATGACTTGTCCAAGGTCACACAGCGAGCAGTATGGATGCTGGGAACGGGACTGTGCTGTGTGCCTGAGACCGTCAGTCTAAGGACACTTCTACTTTGTACCACTTGGGCAGATGACTCACTGGCTGCGCGGCCTCTCCCTCATCTGTATAATGGGAATGACGTTAGTGCCCCTCCTGCAGGGCTGGTTGAGGGTGCAAGGAGGTGGGCTTTTCCTCAGTGCCTGGCTTTGACCACCTTTCAGGAGTTAAAGGAGGGAGGATTAAATCAAACTTATTTGAGGGTAGGCACTGTGTCAGGAACCAGGGGTAAGAAAAAGCAGCGTTGCCCTGACTGGTGTGGCTCAGTGGTTGAGCATTGTCCTGTCAACTGAAAGGTTGCTGGTTTGATTCCAGCTCAGGGCACATGCCTGGGTCGTAGGCCTGGTCCCTGGTTGGGGGCTAGTGAGAGGTAACGGGTAGATGTTTCCCTTAAACACTTGTGTTCCTATCCCTTCCTTCCCATTTCTCTAAAAATAAATGTAAAAAAATAAAAAATTAGCATCACTGTCAGTAATCCTGTACACATAAGGCCCCAGCTGGAGCCCCATGTGGGACATAGAGCTGACACGGCGAAAGGCCAGGGCAGAGGAAAAGGCAGGAGAGCATCCTGGGATCACGTCCAGGGCCTGGGCAGGTAAAGCCTCCACCTGGTGGCAGCCATCTTGTCGGCCCACCTGGCTTCTGTGCCTCAGGTTCGGGGATGGGCAGCTGGGCCAGCCAGAGCCTCGAGGAGACACTGCCCCCTTCAGGCTCTCCTTACCACTGCACCGGCCCCTAATTCAGGGCAGGAGGCGTGGCGGCGGACAGAGGGACCATGGAAAAAGTATCCCTTTTCAGTTCCATTCCAATTCTAGGAATAGTTATTGAGGCTACTCGGGCCAGGCGCGGAGGACAGTGGTGCAGAGAGAGGCGCAGTCCTTGCCCTCCAGAGTGTGTCAGGCAGCCTTTAAATCACGTAATTGCACAGACAGTAATCAGAAGAGGTGAGTTGCTGACACAGATGTTCAGAACATCTGTACTGCTCACACACACTGAGTGAGCAGGGCTTCCAGACTTAACCAATACAAATGTAGGACATCCAGTTAAATGTGAATTTCAAACAATTGAGTATGAATATTCCTGGCATTCACTTCCTGACAGGCAAATTATACTTCCATAGACTCTTTGGTTCATATTTATATTTAAAAAGTTGTTTGAAATCCCCATGTAACTGTGAGTCCTGTATTTTATCTGGCAAACAGAATATTGAGCGATGAGGTTACAGAGGTAAACAAGAATCCCAACCCCTGGAAGCTTAGAGTCTGGCAGGGACCTTCATTCATGAGTTTAACAGCTGCCGATTAGTACTAGTAGAATCTTCTATAGGATCACCATACATGAATCTCATCTAGACGCTCAAACTGCAGCTGGGAGGCAAAGATGGTGGGAGGGGGGCAGGCGACACCCAACATTCCAGAGGGGACGTCGGGAACGTGACCCACTTGAGGTGCAGAAAGGAGGCCTGGATGGTTTGCGTGTGGGTGTCAGGGGTTGAGGCTGGAGAGGGAGACAGGGCAGAGGACAGGAGACCCGGAGGGCCATGGTAAGATTTTGGGACTTTGCCTGAGGGCAGCTGAAGCCTCTGGAGGGCATTAAAGGCTATACAACCCCCTGGCTGCAGGTGGAGAACGGATGGTGTCAGCTAGAGAGCACTGGAGAGACCAAAGGAGACTTGTGGCAACAACTCGGGTGAGACCGTGGTGGCTTTTGAGACAGCGGTGGCAGTGCGATGGCGAGGAAACACGAATGTGTTGTGCAGGAGCTGAAATCGAAACGATGTGTTAATCTGAGGTGCTGAGGGGCGAAAAGGAGTTCCAGGTGTCGTTCAGATTCATCCTTGGGCCACTGGAGGGATGCTGGCACCGCCTGTGGGGACAAGGCCCTATCGGGCAGCGGGCGTGGGCGGGAAGAGGGCCGGGGATGAGCGCAGCCAGAGCCGCGGACCTGGCCACCTTTAGGTCACATGGGTGGGCAGGTCTGCGTGGAAGCTGGCGCCGCGGGCCTGGAGCTCCAGAAAGGTGTCTGGTCTAGAACTGTGGCTCTCGGCCCAGCGGCAGATGGATGGTAATGAAAGCCCAGCGGGGAGGCGGTATGTCTGCCCCGGGAGAGTGGAGGGTGAGCAGGCACCTGGGGCAGACCCTTGAGGAACTCCAATAGCTAAAGGACGGGAACGCGGGGGAGGTGGCCGTCGAGGACACGAAAAGGAAAATGGCAGAGAACTAGGAAGAGAAACCAGGATGGTGCTGCAACAGAATCAACGGTTTCTAAAAGGAGGGACAGGTCAAGAGCACTAAACACATTGAAGATGAAGCTGAAGGACTAATGTTCTGCTGGGTTTAGTGATAGCTAAGCCAGCTATTTCTACATTTGTTTTAAATATATGTAACTTAAAATAAGTAAACACTTCAGTATTTCACTTATAACAGTAAAAGATCAACTTGACCAAAAACACTTTTTATCATAGGGAAAGCAGCTCAGAAAGGGAAAGTATCTGCCAGATATCCCCCTGCCAGCTGCAGAGCATAGGACTTAAACACACTCAGGGCCTCAGGTCTTACTTTTGAGACCCCCCCACTACACACACACAATGTCTTAGGGCCGCTACTCAGCCATCTGAACGGAGCTGAGGCTGTGCGTCCAGAGCCTTGCTTCCTGAGCGGTCCCATCTCACGCGCTGGATCCCTCACCTTGAGAAGTGAGGGTGTGCTCACGTTCCACAGGAGAGGCCCAGCGAGGCTCGGCGGGTCGTGTCAGAGCTGAGATCAGAGCCAGATGGGACTCGCCTGTGACACACAAGCACTTCCCATCAGGAAGAGCAGCTCCTAGGCCCAGACTTCAGCAAGTGGCAGTCATGAAAACAGGCGCTGCAGCTTACCAGTTGGATAAATTATGAAATTTATTTATATTTCACCTTTTAAAAGCCAGAACGTAACAAATTTCACTTTCTGGGAAGTCATCTTATTAGAAATACATGAAGGGCACTTAATACAAGGAAATCAGTTTTCTGGTACCATCAGTAAGATAGACATGCTCTCGTTGGTTTCCTCAAATGAAGGATTTGTTCAATTCCCTTTAACCTTAGACCAAGATGATCTCAACTCAGGGAGGCCTGAGTGAACGCCGCAGAAATACAGCGAAGAGGCTGACCTTGGCGTCCGGGCCCTCCCAAGAGCGGGCACGGCAGAAGTTACTTTGCCCCACAGGCCCCATCTCCACTGGCTCTCAGGCGCCCGCAGTTGGTGCTGGCAGGGAGGGAGAGGCCACAGGAGCAGCGCACAGGCCCAAAGCCCTGTCACTGGCCGCCTCTGCCACCGACCAGAAGGGACTTCCCTATCAGGCTGGGGAGGCCTGACATGAAGGAGCAAACCTAAATACAGGCGCCCGTGGGGCGACCAGACGTTCTGCTCCTACGCCTCTGACGGCCAGCTCTTGGCCTCGTGTTTATTAGTATCGTCAAACGGGTTGAACTTCAAGCTTCTTGAGCTGCTACCAAAGCAAGTTTCCAGGAGACAGTTTCCATTAACAACTGCTCATAGGAGATGTTGTGCCTTTGAATAATGTCTTGTCAGAAGAGACAGCTGTGGCACTAGATTTCCTACAACCGCTCTATGATAGAAAAGCAATGCTCAGTGTAATCTAAGTTAACAAATACAAGATAAAAAGAACTGACATCCATCCTCTCGGGTCCCCGAACCTCTTCCTTCTTATTCATGGGAAGGCTCCTTTTTGTGCCTCAAGGACGAGAATGTAGGCAGGCTCCCAAATAGAAAAGTAAACATGACCCAGTCATTTGAAAAATACCCCGTTAGTTTGAAAATCGTAAGGAAAAAGCTACGGTCTTTCTGTCTCTTTTAGCTGACCCTCTTCCCCTCTTATGGAGAAATGGAGTTTAACCTAAGTTTCTAACCTAGACACACTTATTTATACTAAGAACGTGTGGTTATACCTTATCCTAAAAAGGCACGATGCAGGCATTTAAGACTGAACCAGTCCATTCTAAGGGTGTGCAGAAGTGGCAGGAAAATATCACTAACCCAAACTTCCAGCATCAGACCACCCCACCCCAGAACATTCACCCCAGCAGGACTTTTGAAAGGTCTGCTGGGAAGTAACTCCAGCTCCTGGCAGCCGCTGCCAAGGCCCAGCCAACAGGAACTCCCTCAGCACAGGAGCCCCATCCTGATCGGATGCACTGCTGCCCGAGCTCACACACCTCGGGGACGAGGACGGGAGACCCTTGTCTCATTTGTGCTATTCACAACCCACAAAAGGCCCCGGCTGGCTCGGAGGGCCAGAGAGAGGAACGCTGGGTGAGAGGAGGAAGTGTGAAACACGGACAGGCGGAGAAGCTGGGTTCTCTCCTAGAAGAGGAAGCAGAAGCTCCAGGAAGCAGCTGAGGAGCAAGAAAAGACATGGGACAAACAGGGTTAACAGTAGGGGGAGAGCCCAAGGGAAAGGAGGACTCTGAACTGGAAACCTGTTTCCCTGTTAGAAGCGACCCTGTCCTAACAACAGGGCTCACTTCCAGGGCTGCTGTATATTTAAAGTTTCACACATGACACGTGATGGAAGCTCTGGAACACGAGACGGACAGCAGAGGATCTGCTCACTGATCGATGATGGAGCGTTGCAACACTTGATTTATCATGTCCTCTTCGTCGACATCGTAATCCTAGGGGCAAAACACAGACACAGCCTCAGCACCTGTTTGCAGCGGCAATGACTTGCTTTCTGTAGGAGAGGCAGGGCAGCAGAGCGTGGGGCCCGGGAGCGGGCTGCCCGGGGCCAGATCCCCGCGCCCCGCTCCCCGCCCCATGGCCGGCCACGCTGCCACACGCCTCTGCGGCCTCATCCTGCCGATGGAAATGAGGACGGCTCCCTCGGCTGGGGGCTCTGCGGACCAGAGCGCACCCGGGAGGGCCTGGCACAGACCAAGCGCTCAAAGGCGGGGTGCGCTGTGGTGAAACTAGTCTTTCTAATTCAGGGAGGCAAAGCTTTCTATTCGGTCATTACATTCATCTTTACAGCATTAACAAAGAACACAGTTATTTTCAAGTCTAAGTTTCAGACACTGTATCAAACCATGAATAAATACTCTCTATGACAACTTAGGAAAGAGCCACGCTTTCCTTCTCGGGTCTTAAAATACAGCCATTAAGACTGAATAATAAAGTTCTAACTTGACACTTACATGTATAAATAAAAGGTTTGTTCCAAGTAGTTGGCCAAATGTATCTACCACTGTAATGCCGAGACAACAGTGCGCCCCTTTAAAACCATACAGCTCTAGGAAAAGGACACAAACCTAATGACCGTGTCTAGCCAGTGGATGTGCTTGGTTTGGCCTGAAGTACTTTAAAAAATAAATATGCTATACTTCATATGAAATGCTGCATTTCCAGCTTCTCAGGGCTGGGGCGGGTGGGAGAGATGGGCAAACCTGTGCCTGTATTTCCACACGACAACAAGCAGCAGGAGCTGATGGCAGAAAAGCAAGCCACACACAGTCCAGCCTGAAAATCCTATGGGGCCATTTGTATTACATGCCTGGCCCCAAAGGCATTTGCAGTTAAGAATCCCAAACCAAGCCCTGGCCGGGTAGCTCATCTGCTTAGAGCACTGTCTCCACAGGCCAAGGTTGTAGGTTTGATCCCAGGTCAGAGCACATACAAGAATCAACCAAGGAATGCATAAATAAGTAGAACAACAAATCAGTGTTTCTCTCTCTTCCTAAAATCAATGAAGAAAAAAAAAAAAAGAATTCCAAGCTGGGTTCTATTACAAGTAGAAACTACATATACTAAAAGAAAGTGAGCATAAATTTGGGGAAGAAAGATAACCCAGGAGCAAGCTGCCACTATGTGTCAGTGTAGGTGGCTGGCCAGTGCACCTCCTTCAGTGCCACTCAAGGAAGTCTGCGGCCACTCACCTGGCTCACGGACCACACAGCCGCCGCTCCAGGAAACCTACTGCCTCTGTGACAAAGCTCAACGATGGGGCCCGTGGTTCTCCAGGTAAGAGGGAGGGAGGAATTAGAGCCCGGGCTCCACTCACCACAAAAGTGTCGTAAGAAAACTGGTGCCGCCGCTGGATGTGCTCGATGAAGTTGGCGCTGCGGTAGTTGGGGTCCCCCCAGGGCATCGAGGCACATATCGGACAAACCTTTCAACAGAGAAGCGTGGTCTTAGGCGCCTGACGCCTGAGCTGATGTCCACCCTCTGTGGCTGGTGTGTGGCCCCCTTTCTTCTAGGGCAGCTTTCCTGACATACCAGGCCAGGGCCAGGTCACTCCTCGTGTGCACATTCCCATCCCAGAAAACACTGACAGTCTCCTACTCGAGTGAAATGACCCGCGGGAGTGGGGAAAGGCTTAAGCCATGAAGCATCCTTTTGTTAACCCCTGCTGTGGTCAGAACAATGTGCCAGCCCAGCAGGGGACTAGCCTCCAACACATGAAGTTATCCAAGACCGAGGACAACCAAAGGAATGACAGGTGAGCAATGTCCCAAGGAAGTTAAAACACAGCCCTATGTGCTATTTTTTACAAAGTGAATGCTCAGATGAGGGGGCTCAGGCTGAAAAGCCCTCCACCAGGAGGCTGATTTGGGCTTCGAAGACTGGGAGGTACGGGGGAAACACCAAGAAACACGGAAGGGTGTTCCAGAAGAGGGGCAGTAGTAGCCAGGAGAACGGCCGCGGGGCAGCATTACCGGCCACAGCCAGGCGGGTGGTGCAGCCAGGCGGGTGGTGCAGCCAGGCGGGTGGTGCAGCCAGGCCGGGCATGTCTGGAGGTGGGCGGGGGGCACTGGGGTGGGCGGGGGGCAGGCGTAGGTGGCCCGGCTTAGACATGGCACCCCACCGTTTACAAGGAAGATGTGGTGGAAAGCAGGTAGGCAAGAGAGGACTCTGAAGCAGGGGAAGACTCCGAGCAGAAGAGGCAGCAGCTGGAGCACAAGTCAGGACAAGGGACAGAAGAAGAGGCGGCCTGCGGAGGGAAGCGCTGCAATCCCGACAGCTGCGATTCTGCAGAAGGCGGGGGAGGCGACGGAACAGGGCCAAGGGCTTCAGGGTTAGGGGTTTCAACAGATACCAAACAATGCCAGAGATTTCAGGAAACCAAAGGGGAAAAAAGGAGAGAAGGGAGGCTGCAGTGCCAGAAACCAGAGTAGTTTAGCAATACCGATCAAAATTGTAAGCTCCAACCAAACCGATCCACAGCTAAGTCTTTATTTTGCAGAGAGACAGAAACATAGGCAAAGATACATTAAAATTTATGGCAGCCTTTTAAAATTTACTATGAAAAACTTCAAACCTATAGAAAAGTAGATAGTAGTGTGACAAACCAGCCCTTATCTGCAACACCTAGATTTAAGTTTACCATATTTATTTCAAAAAAAAGGAAGCACTTTAAAGTAAAACACATTTCAGTTCTATTTCAGTACAGCCCTAAAAATAAGTATTTCCCTCTATAAATACAACACCATTATTCCACCTTTCAATCAATAATAATTTAGCAGCACTTAATATCCTGTTCTTAATCAAATCTCCTGATACTGTCTGGGACTAACCTTTACGTTCATCATAAGGGACCAACTAAATCATGGTAAAAGTAATGGAAAACTGTGAAGCTCATTAAAAAATAAACTGATCTACGTGTACTGACGTGGAAGAGATGCCAAAAACATTAGTTACAGCCTCTACGTAATGGGCTGTCATTTGCACAAAAAGAGGGACAAATAAGGGATACATGAATCTCATAAGGACATTCAAAAGCTAGAAATGTCTTTGGATCACATGATTCTGTATTTCTCCACACGTGCAGCCTACGCACATGTCAATGAGCACTCCACAGAGGCATTCTCTGATGCTGTGAAGGGAGAACTGGTTTAGGTGCCAGGAAACCAGGTTCCAGCACTGGTTCTGCACTACCTAGCTCTACGACATGGGTGAGCCACTTAACTTGGGTGGCACAATGGTTTCTTATTCATGTCTAAAAATGAGTGCAGGAGAGATGGTGGCAGGAGACAGAGCATCTCCATCATTTTACTTAGCATCCACTTTAGTTTTCAAAATAGTTACCAAAATAGCCCTGCTTCTGCGGCCAACTTCAAAGCAGAAAACGGGCTGGGCGGGGGGCGGGTGAGCGGGGTGTATCTGTGCCTGCGCGCACTTGCTCTTTCAGTTAGTATTGGGTTCTCCAGCAGCACAACTCAAAGCTCTTGGAGGAGGAGCTGAGAACTTGGCTTTGGGGTATTTCATCTTGTCTAGTACAGCCAAAGGATATGTACTGTGCATCTATTTTTGAATCATAGGGAAAGTAAAACAGCAGGTGCAGTGACCATCCAGGTTGGCATCCGGCTGTAGAGACTTCCAGAGTTCTCTACGTAATAAAGACATGTTAAAAAGATAAGTATTAGTATCAAATGATGAAGCTGTTTCTTTTTGAATGAGAGTAATCAATTCTTTGCGACTGATCTCTTGAAAGCCTGGCAGGTCACCATGGTGTGATGTTTTATTTTTACTTTTTTATTTTTTAAAGATTTTATTATTTGTTTTTAGAGTAAGGGGAAGGGAGGGAGAAAGAGAGGGAGAGAAATATCAATGTGTGGTTGCCTCTTGAGTGCCCTGCACCGGGGGCCTGGCCTGCAATCCAGGCATGTGCCCTGACTGGGAATCAAACTGGTGACCCTTTGGTTCACAGGCTGGCACTCAATCCACTGAGCCACACCAGCCAGGGCTGTTTTACTCTGATTTTGTGTTTATTTCTGTTACTCTAAAATGGCAAGTGGTAATAGAATGCATTTATCATATCCAAACATAGAATTGCAGGAACATAAAAAAATACTGGGAACAATTAATGGTGTAGAGGGAACTAAAGAACTAGGGGAAGGGCCTGAAGAGAGTTTTTACAGTCCACTTTTTAATACAATGAACTGACTACATACAAAGAAACAAAATTTTTAAATTGCCAGGAGGTGACAGAAAACAGGACCCAAGGAGACCAGCTGGGATCACAGAGAACATGATGTGAGCAGGGGGTGGAAGCCAGGCTCTAGAGGAAGTAAAGGAGAGGGCGCAGCAGAGGCTGGGAAACCACCAGCTGGAGCAAAAAGAGAAACTGAATGCAATCGAAAGTGCTGGATCAGATACTCCTCTTGCCAGTCAGACACGGAAGACCTGGGCATGTCTGAAGGAAAACAAGTGTAAGGGGTGGGAAAAGAAAGTGAGAGAAGAAACATGATGGGAAAGCCTCAGGAGCAGGGAGTCTTTCTCTTTGCCAGGCGCTAGTCTTGTTCCTTTGCTCAGATCTGAGGACACAGGGACAGATGTGTCAGGCTTGGAAAGGAGTCTTTTCCTCAACATGAGACGGAATGATAAAGACAAGGAACAAGGGCTGCAAACTCCAGTGCTCACAGGTACCAGGCCTGTAGGCAAAAGAGTAAAGCAGAGTGCGTATAAACCCCGCCCGGCCAGATGGGGCGGCAGCCGCCAAAGCCAGCCAGCTTTTGCCAGAACTTCTAATTTCTCAAACTCAAGAGTATCATGATGGGAAATGTTCTGTTTTTAAAGGTCAGGGAAATTAAAATGTGTATGGGCCAGACGTATCCCATAGGCTGCCAGTCCGTGACCTCAGAGGTGGATCAGAGAGCTCCTGAGATAGAAAGAGGAAGAGAAAAGAAAGGGACATACACCTGATACTTTGAACTTAATTAAAAGCAGGACTGAGTGTTGTCTCTATAAAGGGTGAGAGCAAACGGGGTGCACGATGGGCCAGGCCAGTCCTGTCCCCTAGACTGGAGCTGAGATATGCAGATGGAGAGAACATGAACTGCTGGAATCTGCTGCAGCACAACATTAAGAACCCAGGGAGCCCAGAGTAAAAGGTGACCGTACTGACCAGAATTTGGACTTGACAAGTTCAATAAAGTCAAGAGAAGATTTAAGATATTCCTGACAAAGCCAGCTGGACCTTAGGATTTCCAACACAGAACTAAAGAATGCCACGAGACCTACTCCCACCAGCAAATGCTCACAGAAGTTCTCATTTGTGCACCTGCTTTTACAGCAATGGAGCTGAAGACCGCCCATAAACCTGGGTATGCAGTTCGACAGAAGCAGTCTGAGATAAATGGGAAAACTAAAACTACAGAGGAAGCTGTATTAAGCCTTAACCCAGTCTGTTAATCACATGAAGAGGGAAAGGTAACACTGCTGAGATGGACCAAATTCGAACTCCCTCACAATCCCCCCCAAAAGAAACTGGCCCTGACCAGTGTAGCTCAGTTGGTTGGGCATCGTTGTTAAAAAATAAAGAAACCACGTGCCAGCCTGTGATAATTAAACATCGAAAGACTGATAAGCACTTTCCTAATAATTTCAGCTTAAATTTGTTTTCTCCACAACCATGAAAAAGCTCCTCTCAAAAGGCAACTGGCAGCAGCTCTAGAGAGGAGAGACGTGGTAGACGCCAAGGAATCCACGTTCACGGTAGCAGCAATGAGAGTAACCACCATCACATGGCCCCTAACATGCCCCCCGGAGGGGACTAAGGAGACACAACAACTAAATCTAACACACGATCCAGGATGTGAGGGCAGGGGAGACTGATATGAAGAATATTACAAATGTTAAAATTTAAACACGAATTCCACAATAGATATTAGACTGTCTCAATGCTACATTTCCTGAGCATGATAATTAAACACAAAAAAGGTAATTTTTTTTAAAGCAAATGTTCTTCTTCTTAGGAGGCAGATGCTGCAGTATTCAGGGGCAAAGGGTCATGATATCTGTAACTTATTCTCAAATGGTCAGCAAAAAATTTGTCGATAGAAAGCATGGATAAGCAAATATGGTAAAGCGGCACTAATCCAAGAATCTAGGTGAAGAATACATAAGCGTTCACTGCATTAATCCTGTAATTTTTCTGTAAGTGTGACTTTCCTCCCATAAAAACACTTTTCTAAGAGTTCCTCTTACCACAGACTTGGTATCCGTGCTATGGGATAACTTGCAGTGTTCCACAAGTCCTTCCTGGTCAAAGTTCTTCTCGGGACAGTAAGGGCAAGGAAAGGTGTAACGGTTGGGGACATGCCTGGAAGATGAAAAGGCAGAAGAACAGAGACAGGCTCTGTGAGTACATTTCCACGCAACTGCAGCCACTGCACCTGCCAAAGGAGCCCAGTCCACTGAACGGCTCCGACAGGCACTGCGATGATTACTTCAGAGTCAGGCCAAGTGTTCTGAAAATAACTTATCGGCACAGCTAACATTTGGAGTGAACATCAGAGCGGCCTTCTCCATACCAACCCCCATAAAAAACCTGCATCAGCTGTAGCCAGCATAACAACTATACCTCCACTTTATAAAACTCAGCCCTGAACACACAAAGCGTTCTATGCCTTTGGACCAAAAGACGACCTTGAGCTAAAGGAGCGATTGAGTCATTTACCTTGGCTGGAGGGATGCGTCCTTGGTGGTGGCCTTCACACCTTCCATGATGTAATTCTGGTATTTGGAACAGGTAGCCACATGGGCCCGGATCTTGGATAGGAAGAACTTGGACAGGAAGAATCAGAGGCCACAAGTTAGTCAGGACCTCGTACCAGGCTCAACACAATCCCAAAGCACGGGCGAGATGCACGCTAGACCTGCACGCTAGACCTGCACCGCCCCGGCAGACGGCCTCACCAGTCCCCGGGCTGTGCTGAGAGGGCTGAACCCCTGACCGCTGCAGGGTTTCTGTTCAGACCAAGACTGGTGTGCCCTGACCTGTGGAGCTCGTTGGTGGGGTGCTGTCCGGCAAAGCGAAAGGTCATCGGTTCAATTCCCAGTCAGGGCACACGCCCGGGTTGCGGGCAGGGTCCCCCATCAGGGTGCGCATGGGAGAGGCAACCAAGTGATATTCTCACACATCGGTGTTTCTCTCCTTCTTTCTCCCTCCCTTCCCCTCTAATAATAATAATATTTTTTTAAAAGAAAATTAAAAAAAGACCGCTGTTTTACTTGACCAAATCAGGACATCTGCTTCCACTCTACACTAACTCTCCTAGGGTCTACTTTACTCACAATATGCTCTCTGCTCCCCGACACATTCCAGAGCCAGTGACGTTTTTAAAGTTTTTCATATTAGCATTTAAACTCATCTCCTTATAGCAGGCCAAGAACTACATTCCATTATGTGCAGCAGGGAAAAGCAACCATGTAAGTAAAAGGAGTAAAGGCTAGTAATCCTAGTTAAAATACAAATCATGAGATTGTGACAAATGATCTTTAAAAAAACTCTAAATCCAAATTTTTTCTTCTATAAAATGTAGTCTTTGCAATATAGAAAGAGAAAAGAAAACCAGAGCACTTCAGCACAGGTGTTCTAGAAAGGAAGATGTGTAAGGAGGGAAGAAAGAGGGGAGATGCAGCAAACACACACATTTTTGAAGATATACCGCAATACAATCATTAATCTTTAAAATGGAGACACTCAAAGGCACACAGTAAAAACCCCGAACTCCAGCACGTGAGTCCCGGCTCACCAGGGCGCTCCTGGCTCATCTCCAGCTCGAGTCTCCGACCTCAAGCTGCCGACCAGAGCGCCCTCTTAAAAAGGGACGGGGAGCGGCCCCATTCAGAACTGCACCCACTGGGTACCCCTCGTCCAAACCACCCTCGCAGGAAGGAGGTTCTTAGGGCTACCCATTCTATGACTATCCAGACTAAGGTGTCGGAGTAATGAAATTGATGTGCAAGGCTGCCCAACAGTCCCTTAGTGAAAAAATAGTTTCAAATGGGAAAAAAAGTTGTAGAAATATGTATTACAGTATGACCCCATTTTGTAAAAATCCTACCTCTGTGTTTGTCTAAGGGCAGAAATTATTTTGCTGCCTTCTAAACTGATCTACTTTAAAGAGGTAATCTCTGTGGAGTGGGGAACAAGCCTACATTGTTTTATATTTTTGTATTGTGTGGAATTAACAAAAACCTTAATGATTTAAAAATCAACAAGCCTGTGTGTATCTCTTGGAAAACAGGACAATATTTCTCTTTTGCAGTTATAACATGTTAAAATAACTATACTTGGCCCTAAAATGGTTATACAAAAGAGCATGGATGCATTTCAAATGTTAGATCTTGCTATTATAATCAAATATTTCAGATTCACCTTTGTATCATGATTCTTCCCTGTCAAGCGCTAAAAAGTTGATTAAATTTTATGTCTGAAATGACATAGACTTTTAAATCTCTCAAACTAACTGCGGCAGGTAACTATTTTGAGTCACTGACCTAATTTTATATTAAAAATATTAAGAAATATTATTGTCACTATATTCTAATTAAAATTCTGCACAATGCTTTGGAAAAACGGGCCTTTTACAGGAAAAAAACTGAGATAACGGATTTTTCTGATTTTCAAAGCTAAAATATGTAATATACTAAGCCAACTTAAAAAAAAACAAAACCAAAACCCCAAAAACCCAAAACCCAGTAAGGTAACAAAATGAAAACAGCACAGCCACTGCCACAGAGAACTAGCATGCACACGTGCTGTTAGTCATCTGGTCATGCTCTCACTTCAGAAATGACACGGCAACAGCTCTGCGTTTTACCCCATCTCATCACAGAAAGACTGACTCTTCCGTTTTCCTTCCACATACATTTTTACGGCAGCCATGGCAAGAAGTCTCTGTGCTCTCAATCTGCCGCTCGAGCTCCGTGGCTCGTTCACCAGGTGCCAGAGGGCTGCGACATACCCCACAGACAGGCTTCTTCGGCTTCAGACATTCCTGCAGGCATGCAGAGCAAAAGCTAGAACAAGACATACAGAGAACCTGAGTCATGCACTGTGGAGACAAGACAACAAACATGGATAAACTTTTAAAAAGACATCAATGAATAATGGATTAAAGAAAACTTGCTCCCTACTCCTCATTCAAACAGAGTCCTCCTATGCCAGAAAAATGAGGGCGGGGAAACGGGTCCACTAACAGAAACAAAGGCAGGCTACTGGGATACACGGCAAAGGGGTTACGGTGCAGTCTTCAAACCTGAGCCCCCCAGTACTGAGGAGTCTCCTGAATCTCGTTTTTCCCTCTGTGAAATGGAGACAGTAGTACTCACCTCGAGCAGTGTTGGGAGACCCTTGGTACAGTGCCTAGCACCACCAACAGGAGGTGCTATCATTAGAGGTGAATGCAAAGCACTATGAAAACGCAAATACAAGAGCAACTAGTTGGGACCTAAGGACAGAGCTAGGAAGACTTCAGAGGATGCATCTGTGAAAGAACCTTAAAAGGCAGAGTTCGGCTGACAGAGCAAGGGAAGTATATTCCAGACCTATAGACTTAAAAACTCATGATGCATCTGAGGAAATAAAAGCCTACCACTTTTCCTAATAAGGAGAGATCCGGCTGTTTAAAGCAAAGTATCAACAAGACCAAATCCAAATTTTAGGAAAATAACTTTGGGATCAACACAGACAATAGAGTTGTTGGTTTAAAAATTGTTTCTAGGTAAGGAAAGACGAGAGGAAACTTGCTGCAGAAACCAAACAGATGGCTAACGGCAAAGGACTGCGAGGGCCTGACTGAGGCAACAGAGAACGGCTGCAGGAAATGATTCAGTAGGACTGGTAACTTACTGAATCTGGAGAAGAAAAAAAAAGAAAGTCACAGATGGCCAGTTTCTATGCTGAAGCCCAGACAGGCGGTGATGCTGAGGTGAAGTACACAGGAGGAGCGGCTAAGGCAGGGAAATACCCAGCCGCCAACCCAACCTGACAGATTTAAAGCAGGATGTTTAATCAAAGGTAATCTGCACATCTGACCATTTTTTACCATCTCTAAGAGTTTTCTTCCTCTTTATCATTAAGCTGGATGTTATTCTGCTAGGCAAAATTTTAGACCAGGCAGGGAGAAGGTGGGGCGGGGCGGAGTCTACTGACTCATCACTGAGGGCACAATGCTGAACTAAGTCCCTGTCCTCACAATGCTTCTGTTCCAGAGTGGAGAAAAACACAGATGTTAGTTTCAGTTAGTCATTAAATACAAGAAGGAAATAAAAGGAAGCACTGAGACCAGCTGGGGTGGATCATAGAAAGCTTCTTTGACGAGGTAACATTTGAGCTGAGGCCTAAAATGATAAGGAGAGCACCACACAGACCTGGATGCAAAGCGTTCCATACAAAGATGACGCCAAGTACAGACAGATGTCAGAAAAGCAGAAAGGACGCCCTTTGGGGCCATGAATCATGTCCAACAAAATAGCCTGCTTTCAGTTTCCATTTCTTATGTGTGGGCCTTTTTCTAGTTCAGCCCTGTACATGCGCCATCCTTTCTTTTACAATGCTATGCAGAAAGTCCCTTCTCCTGTGCACCTAGCCACCTGCCCTTCTCCAGCTGTATTCCACTAGGCTGAAAAAGGACATAGTCACTTAAAGCTTGAAATAAGGTTCTATAAAAACCTAATGCTCCGTCCAGGCAGAACTGCAGTGATGCTCAAGTTTCTAAATACAAAGTTAGGAAAAACCAACTAGGCAGAGCAAAAAGCACTTGGCTCGCACTAAGGGAGACTCAAGAGAGGTGCATCCATCTGTTTTCAATCAACACGGAACTGATGAACATATGGAACCAGTATGGTGAGTACAGAAGAGTCAAGGTCTGAATCCAACTGTCCCTTGACCTCTGACCCAGGAAAGTTCATCTGGCTCAAGGAAACCTCAAGTTTGGCTGCTCTTCAGTCGGTAAATTCTGCTGGGTCAAGCTGCTTTATTCATCCATTACCTCCCCCCACCCACAGGACTGATTCCTAATACCCTCCCACTGCACAGTGAATTTCCACACTAGTCTGAACATTTGCTGAATTGTGGACTCCGAGGGCAGAATCACCTTATTTCTTACTATACACCACAAATCTGGCACGTAGTGGGCATGTAAATATTTTAGCCTGTTGAACATAAGATTGGAAGACGGATGCTCGCTGTGCTGGGCACTGGGGATACAGGCAGGGCAAAATAGGAATGGTTGCTGCTCCTGTGACCCTAACTTTTACTCTGTGTAAGAAACTGGAGGTAATTTAAATGGAGATGGTGACAGAGAAGTAACAAATTGGGACCTGAAGTCTGAAAAGGATTTGGGGTAGTGGTGAGGGAGGTGCAGATGGGACGGGAAGAGTTCCAGGCCAGCTGAACTGCAAACAGAACAGCCCAAAGCTAGAACGAGCTTCATGCCCTGGCTGGTGTGGCTCAGTAGATTGAGTGCTGGCCTGCTAAACCAAAAGGTCTCAAGTTCGATTCCCAGCCAGGGCACATGCCTGGGTGTGGGCCAGGTTCCCCAGTTGGGGGCATGAGAGAGGCAGCCAATAGATATATCTCTCGCACACTGCAGTTTCTCTCCCTCTCACTAAAAAGTGAGTAAATAAAATCTTGGGGTGGGGGGGAAGAACTTCATGTACTTCAAGAATCAAAAAGCAGTCAATGTGGCTGAGGAGCTTTCACCACGTGCCAAGTGTTCTCCCCACTGGCAAACAGATGCCAGCAGTGAAGGAGCCTCAGTATTCTCACCTGCAAAATGGTTGCAGGAATGCTGTAGAACAGGTGCCTATTGGTACCTCCTGACCAGTAAAGGGGTCCTAAGACCAATGTCAAGGCGATGCCCACGATACACATTGAGGGAGGCCATGGAGCAGGTGGCCAAGTTCTCTACAGCTCTTTCAATTAGGTGTATTTGTTTCTGTGTCTGATGGAGCAAGGCTGAGATGCAAATCCGGTCAAACTCAAAACACCTACCCCAGCCCAGGTCTGGACCACTATTGACATCTTCACACACCTCCTCCTTCAGTCATCCCAACGTCTACTTGCAAAATGCAGGCCATGGAAGCTTAACTTCAAATAGCATGAAACACGCTTGTACCCACGTAAGTAGGAATGACAATCCCTACCGGCCAACTCTCAACGCCTTTCACAGTGCGGGGCAGACTGGTCAGATCTGTATCAAGATTTCCCTTTTGTTCTTTTAGTCTAGCTCAGAGTTTCTGCAACTTGAGTGCACATTAGAATTATTTGGCAGAGCTGGCGACATGACGCCAGATGTACTATATTTTAGGGGCGACGTACGCACTACTCCCGGGAAATTGTGACTCTCGAGGGCGGACTTTGGACACTACTTAACCCCCAGAGGGTGTAACTCCACTATCACGCCTGGGAAGGAGCTGACAGGCCGCCTGGAACACAGTAGGAGCTCATCCCTAGGGCGGGAGACTCGGAAGTGAGCGAGGCGGGAGACGAGTGAGCACCCTGCCAACTTCCACGGAACTTCAGGAGCTCGGGAGGGCCCCACGCAAAGGTCCCTCTAGGTCGGTCCTCTCGCTCCCGCCCGAGACCCTCCCAAACGGGGCCTCGCCCCTCGACTCCAATCCCCTCCCAGTTAGACGCCCCCCGCCCAGGGCCAGGCTCGCCGCTTACACGTGTCCGCAGAGCACCCGCACCGGCTTCTCGTACACCTCTAAGCACACAGGACACGTGAAGCGGCTCAATGGGTCGGCCTCCGCCGCTGGCCCAGCCACTGGCGTAGCACCCTCACGATCCTGCTGTTGCGCCGCCATCTTGCAGCCGCGGAGCGCAGCGTAACGGCGGCCGAGAAGGAGGAGCCCGATGGGCGGGGCGGAGGCGGTCAGCCAGCGCACGCGAGGGGCGGGGCGGGGGCGGGGCTGGAGGGCGGTGCAGAACTCTAGGGGCGTGGATTATGGGACGTGCACCTGACTGGGGGCGGGGCTACTGAGTGCGCCACGCCTCTCGGCGCTCAGAAGCCGGGGCGCTGGGGCGGGGGTCGAGGCCGAGGGAAATCTGGAAAATGTGGACAACGGATTCAGAGGTCGGCAAAATGGGAACGGGCTTTGTGCTTCGGCCTCTTTCCTAAATTTAAATCATTATTATTACTTAGGATTTAGTTATGCACTATTAATATTTCTCTTCAAAACGAGTTGATTTCTTTAAACTGAAAGCAGAAAAAGGAAAAACTTTAAAAAAGAAGAAAAAATAAACTTAAAATTTAAAGGGAGATTTGATATCATTCCTGAGCTACAAGTAGAAAACCAATATCGTTTATTTCTACAAGGGAGCTGTAAATACAGTGGAAATAAAACCATATCATTAGTATTCATGCTGAATACTGTTGACCCTGAAAAGAGAGATTAGACATCATTAGAAAGGTGTTGAAGACAGGCTATCACCACAGAGACTTGCTAGTTAAAGCAGTGGTAAAGGGAAGCTTGTCTCCTTCCCTGGCTCAGCATTATTTAATAATGTGTTCACATGCCTCCTGGCAATGGGGTCTCGCGCCTGCTCTGTATAGATGGGAAAGCTGAAGCTTGAAGAGATAGACTCCACTTAGTCTCACAAGAAAGGAGCAGGCCTATGCCCCAGATGTTTTGAATCCCAACTTTCTCCACTTTCTACTGCACCTAATTGACTCTTGCACACACCCCATTTAACAGACATCTTTTTTAGAAGGCAGGCAGTGCTAACAGTTCTACATGGTTTTCTTAACCTGAAGAGTTAATGATCAATTAAACCTCCACCTGAAATGCTGCAGAGGTCTCACAATAAGGAGTCTATATGGGATAAGTAAATCATGTTGGTTAAACCAGGTTAATTGAATGCAAATTTTGGCCTTCTTTGTCCCATTCCCAATCATTGGGTTGATTTTGCTTGACCTGGTGGCAGCAGCAGAATTATTTGTAGCCGGCCATGTGGACCTCTTACAACAAATAACTTGGCATGGAGACAGCAACCCAAGAAGGCCAATGTTTACACTCTCCCTTTCCGCTTCCCGCTCCTGTGCTGGGCACCCACTCACCTCATCTCTTCCACCTTTTTGCTGAGGGGGACAGAAGTGTGCTGTGGGTACAAATATTGTCCTTGTACCTGATGCCAGACCCGGTAAGGGTGAGGAAAGGGGGAGTGAACAGGGTCTGGCATCAGATTCAAGCCCTCAGCTGAGCTTCAGATGCGCCTAGTGCCCCGTTTGGGCTCTTGAAAAGGGCTTTCCACTAGCTTCTACACTGAGTCACAGAGACGAGAGGACCAGATTGACATAATATTAATAGTGAATGTTTCTGGGTGTTTATTATTCTAAGCATTTCACATGAAAAATTCCTCACAGTAACCTATGCCTTAGGTTCTGTTATTAGCTCCATTTTACAGCTGTGCAAATTAAGCACAGAGAGATTAAATTACCTTTTAACAGGATGGAAAGTGAGAGTCAGGATTTGACCATCACATGTACTCTGGCTTTGGCACCTGTGCCCGTACATCAGCGTCACCTGGAAGGCTTTTTAAACCACCTACTGCTGGAACCGGCCTCCAGGGTTCATGATCCAGCACAACAGCAGGTCTGGGGTGTGGCCTGGGAATTTGCATTTCCACTTGTCCAGGTGAGGCTGGTACTGCAGAACTGGGGGGTGTAGTTTAAGTACCACTGACCTACACTGTCTTTCTTTAACCCCCATCAATGCTGAGATTAAACCAAATGTGCTACATCCCTTCCTGTTTTTTTGGAGGCATCTCCAGTGACAATGCTCCCATTATCCCTTTTTCAGCTTCCAAATATATTGCTAGTCCTTCCTCCTCCCCACACTCATACTCACAGTTTTTCAGCAACAATCAGTCTAATAATGTGCGTCAAATGAATGAACTTCGTCTTCCCACTTCCCCTTAGTGTTTTTGAGGAAAATGTTTCCCACAAGCCTCTTCCCCTTCTTTAGTTTTTGGTAGCCTCCCCGAGGTTTGCCCGCAGGGGCCAGGCTACTCTTGGGGCTCTGTGAGCCTGGAGTGGGGGAATAGGGTCTGCTCAAAGCCTTGGCAAATTTGATTTTTACTTCCAACGTGGACTCATTCACACAGGCAACAAAGTTACTGTGGACCTATTGTGTGCCAGGCCCTCTGCAGGGTGCAGGGAATATTAGATACAGTGCAAAGGAGAAAGGTGTGGTCTCTAAGAAACAATGAGATAGGTGTGTGGTGACAGATGCTTTAAAAGGTTTTCCAATTAAATAATGATCCTCATGAAAATTGCAGGGATATTTGCTCTAGTATGAGGTGATCGGGTCTTGGCAGGCCCCACACTCCTCACTCACAGAAACTGTGAGATAATCAGTGTGTTTTGTGTAAGCCACTAAGTTTGTGGTCATTTGTTAGGCAGCAACTGATAACTAATATAAATTCTTTAGTGGGTACTTTGCCTAAATGAAAAAACAAAACCAGCCCTGGCTGGGTAGCTCAGTTGGTTAGAGCACATCCCAATACACCAAGGTTGTGGGTTCAATCCCTGATCAGGGCACAAATAAGAATTAACCAATGAATGAATGAATGAGTAGAAAAACAAATCAATGTTTTTTTTTCCTCTCTCTCAAATCAATCAATAAAAAAAAAAAAGAAAAAAACAAAATTCAACTCCTTTGTCCCACTAGCCATATTTCTGGTGCTCAGTAGCCACAGGTAGCTAGAGGCTATGTATCAGAACACAGCAGATACAGAACATTTCCATTGCCACAGAAAGTTCTGTGGTCAGTGCTGCTATAGATCTACTCACACATGTGGGAAGGATACAGACACACGAAGTCCAGGGCAACACTGGTCACAGTAGCAAAATGATTAAATATATACAATAGATATAACTACAGGTATGTCAACTTCTTGAGGACAGGAATTTTTTGTCCATTTTGTTTACTGTGTCTTTAGCTTTTAAAACAGTGCCTAGCTCATGGTAGGTAACTCCATATATATCTGTTAAATGAAAATACAGCTGATGTGGAATGACCTTTGAAATATGATTTTAATTAAAATTACACCAAGGTGCTGAGGAATGTAACTGGTGTATAGTTGCTTATGGTGGTGAAGAGATTCCTGGGGCTGAGGGGCTTCCCAGGAGGCCAGGCTTCCCCTGCCGGAGCTGGGGAAGTGCCAGGCGCAGGAGCTCCTGTCGCTGCTGGAAGGAGCGCTGAGGATCTGGTACCAGGGTCCATCAAGGGAAACCAGAGGCCTGGGGGCCAGGCTCTGAGCCCGGAGGAAGACTTACTTGTCATTCTCTTCCCTTTTGTATTGTCTGAACTTTTTCCCCTATTGTATTTTCTAAACCTTTCCATATTGCTTTTTAAGTAAAAATGAAAGAACGTTGCGTTAGGCCCTGTGGGAGGATGGTGGAGGTGATGAAGTATGACCCCAGTCCTCAAATCACGTAACCCTCAAACCCTCTCCTCAGCCTCAGGCCACCTGTGAAACTTATTACTATACTTATCTAAAGAAGGCAGGGTTTACACCAGTATGTATCACTACATTTATTAGTTTATGGGCAAATAATTTTATCTTAATTTCAACCTGGTTAAGAGATTCAAGACGTCAAACTGTTAAGAGCCATGAGGAATTTCCACCTACACCACTAGGGGGCAAACAAGTACCTCAGAGACTCACCTGGCCCAACTAGGGGAACACTGCCTCCCGCTTTCTCTCCAGTTCCTTAAGGGCTTACTGTCCCTGCCCATTGTGGCTTCCGGTCCTATATATGCATGTTCACATGCACACACATATGTCTAGCATACGTATATCATATATATACACTCTTTTTCCTAAAACATGTGAGAGTAAGTTGTAGGCAGGATTCCCCTTTACTTCTAAATATTTCAGTATTTCCTAGAAAGAAAGACATTCTCTTATAAAACCATAATAGCATTATCAAAAATTTTTTTATTGTAGATATATATAATTTGCCATTTTGACCATTTAAAAGTGTATAAGTCAGCCCTGGCTAGTGTGGCTGAGTGGACTGAGTGCCGGCCTGCAAACCAAAGGGTCACTGGTTCAGTTCCCAGTGTAGGGCACATGCCCCGACTGCAGGCCAGGTCCCCCGCAGGGGGAGTGCAAAATGCAACCACACATTGATGTTTCTCTCCCTCTCTTTCTCCTTCCCTCCCCCTCTCTAAAAATAAATAAATAAGATCTTTTTTTAAAGTGTATAAGTCAGTGGCATTAATAACATTCATAATGTCATGCAATCATCACCACTGTTTCCCAAATGTTTTCATTACCCCGAACAGAAACTGTACCCATTAAGCAGTCACTCTTCATTCCCCGCTCTCTTAGCCCCTGGTAAGATCTAATCTACTTTCTGCCTCTTCAAATCTGCCAATGACAGACATTTCATGTAAGTAGAATCATATAATATTTGTCCTTTCTTGATTGGCTTCTTTTACATAGCATGTTTTCCAAGTTCATCTATGTGGTAACATGCGTCAGACCTTCGTGCCTTTTTATGATAAATGGTATTCCAATGTACGGGTATACCACGTTTTGCATATCCATTCATCTGTTGATAGATAGTTAGGTTGTTTCCACCTTTTGGCTATGTGAATAATGCTTCTGTTAACATTGGAGCACAATGTTCTGTTCAAGCCCCAGTTTTTATTTTTATCTTTTTAAAATATTTATTTATTTTTAGACAGAGGGGAAAGGAGGGAGAGAAAGAGGGAGAGAAACATTAATGTGTGGTTGCCTCTCCCACACCCCCTACTGAGGACCTGTCTCCCAGCCCAGGCATGTGCCCTGACTGGGAATCAAACCAGCAACCCTTTGGTTCACAG